GAGCCGGCCCAGCAGGATCCGCGTGTGCGCAGCGCCGCCTGCCGGCCGGCCCGGGCACCGCGCGCTCCGCGCCCGGCCCCGGGAGCAATGCCATTTTGAAACCACGGCGCCCGGGAGCGAAGGCAGAAGAGATGGAGGGGCCGGGACCGGATCCCAGCGCGGCGGATCCGGCCATGGCCCGCCCGAGGAGCGGCTCTCGGATGCTTTCCACTGGGGAGACTGTTTCAGGCTCCTCGCTCAGCCCGAGCGGCAGCAGCGCAGGGCAGAGGGGAAATTGTTGCCAACTTTCCCTGTTTAGGTAAAACGCCCCGGACACGCACGCCTCGGACCGAGGGCTTGTAATGGCGAGTGCAAGGATCAGAGGGCCGGGGGTGTCCTGTGGTCCGCAGTGCAGGAGAAGGCGGGTAGCTTTGCACGGTACAGACTATCCGAAGTGTGCGTGTGCGTACACATGTATACATACATCTATATAGATACAGCCCCGAAGTGCCTGTGTTTGCGTGTGCGTGTATCCAAACTGGGTATGGAGCTATATATATTATATATATACACACACACGCATATAGGTACATATAGATATAGATATCTATATTGTATCTCCATATGTGTGTGTGTGTATAGATAGATATAGATAGATAGATAGATTCAAAGTGCATGTGTATGCATGTATGTATTATGTAATTCACGAAGTGTAATACACACATTGCATGTGTATTGTGTGTGTGTGTATATATTATATACATATGAACGCGCACGCACACACATACGCTTTGGGTGTATGATATATATAGATATTTGGATATGCAGAGAGAGACAAATCTATAGATATATACGTATAGATATATCCATACACTTTGGACACACACACAGACACAAGCACTTTGGAGATAGATATAGATATCTCCCAAGCGTGCGTGTGTGTATATATATCTTTGCGTGTGTATACACAGAGATTATATAGATATATAGTGTGTGTTTATATAACTAAAATGTGTGTGTGTGTGTGTGTGTGTGTGTGTGTGTGTGTGTGTGTGTACCAAAAGGTTTGACGAGCTGAAGTTCCCGTCCCAGCCCCACGGGGACAGACGGTCACGAGCGACTTTTCGTAAGTGCCCACGCGGGGCTGCGCTTGTTGCTGGTAAAGAGGCGATGAGCTGAACTCGGGTTTCTGGGGAAGCGGCCTTTGGAAAGCGGCCCCCGCCCTGCCCCGCGTGCCCGGGACGCCCCCGCAGGGCTCTGCGGGGCCGGGCTGCCGGC